GCAGCTCGGTTCCGAAGCGGGCCCGGGAGCCGGCTTCCCTCTCGGCCCCGAGGCAAGCCCGGCGGGCGGCTCCTCCCGGTGGGGTGACCGCGCGGGGCCGGCCCGGCCCGGCCCGGGGGCGGGACCCGGGAGGGCGGCGCGCGGCGCGGGCGGCGGGCGGAGCGCGGGCAGAGGTGCCCCGAGGCTGCGGCATTGTGGGGCGGCGGCGACCCCCGACCTTCCGCGTCCCCGGGCCCGCCGGGCGGCGACGGCAGCGCGGACGGGTGAGTGTGCGCGGGCCCGGGGCGCGCCCCCTGTGTTTGAGCGCGGGCCCGGGCGCGGGCGGCCGCGAGCCCCGATTTGAGCCGCGCGGGTCCCGTGCTGCCGCCTGGGCGCCCGTGTCTTGGTCTGGGGTGGGCGCCGCGGGCCGCGTCCGCGTTCTTCCGGCGCCTTTGGGCCCCATTTCCCTCTGTCGTGCGTGGGAGCTGCTCTCGGGCGGCTCCTGGGAGCCGGTGGGCTTGGGACAGTGGAGTGATTTCACGGTGAGGGAGGCCCAGAGGCAGCAGACCCGGGAGGAGACTTGAGGGCAAAACCTGAAGCTAGACTCAGCTGCCCGAGGCCAAGGCCGGATGCGGCGGAGCATCCCTTGTCCGAATGAGCTCGGTTCCGTTGTGGCTCCATCCCCCACCTGGCTCCTTGACCTTGGAGAGTTCACTTTCGTTTCTGGGTCTTAATTTTCTCATGTGGAAAGTGGAGAGCTTGGGGCCATTGTCTCCCAAGGCTTTTCCACCGCAAAAAACTACTGTGACAGACCCTCTGTGGTCCGTTGTTGGGACTTTCCAATATAACAAAACCTGACTTGTGAAAACTGTAGGATTCACCTTCTTCCCCAACACACACAAAGGCACACATACACACCCCTCAGTGAGGCACAGGGCCTCCTGGGGAAGCTGGGCACTCAGTGCCTGCAGAAATGGAGACCTTTGCTTAGCGGGACTTTTAGGATATCTTCCTTTGCTGAGGCTTGCCACTCAGCTCAAAAAGATGCATAACTGGAAGGTCTGGTTAAGTGGAATCAGCAGTGGGAGTTAAGGAAGCTGGGGAGCAGATGACCAGTTAGTTACAGGAACCTCAGGGCTGTGCTCGCTCCCTGGCTCTGACTCCACCCTGGTGCCTCTCCCTCCCTCCCTTGCCCCCTAGGGCTGGTGCAGGGCTGAGTGGGGTGGCAGGTCAGGACACACTGATGGGTGATGGGTCAGCACCTGCCCTTGGCCAGTCTTGCCAACACCCCTCCTGCCCTCTGCAGCCTCCAGGTTGGATGAGGGGCTGCAGCGTGAGTGCAGAGGCTGCCCTGATTGGGCCCATCCTGGCCTCTGGTTTGTACCTCTCCCTACTTGGTAGCCCCTTCTCTTGCTCTACCTTTGCCAAGCC